AAGTAAATAATAATAATATATTAGTCTAATATAAATAAAATTATATTAGAGTTTTTAAAATATTAAATAATTTCATATTACAATATGTCTATTCTATTAAACTATTTACAAAGTAAAAAACAAGGATAGGTCAAATATTGTCTCGATAGAGTTTTGAAAAAACACATATGATCATAAATAAATAAATAATTAAATAAATATATTTATTTTACTCGTAGATAAAAAACGTGCGTTTCGTTGCAAGTATTACTTTTTCTTTTTCAAAAATATTGGCCCGACAATTTTTCATAAAACATCTCCACCGAGTTACATTTGTTTGTGACGTATAACTAAAAACATATTTAAACCAATCAAAAATCAATATTATTTTACCTCTATTACTCACAACAAATTCCATTTTAAAAACGGTAAGTAAGTTATAACGTTTATGTTCTAGTGACAAAAAGAAGAGATACTGAATGGAAATATAAGAATTTAACATTTGTCAGATAATTATTGTGTGCAAATTATAAATAAACTATGATACAGTATATCGAACAGTGAACTGTTATTATCGACGATTATCATTGTATACATTACTAATGTCTTTTACACATACATAACATATATTCAATATTGCTTAAAAATTAAAACCAATGGTTTCCAAACTTTTTTTGGAGGAAATGACTTTTGGCGGAAACGGGAATCGTACCTTTTTCGTTTTTGGAGGAAATGGGCTATGGCGAAAACGGTCAATTTTATTTTGGCGGAAACAGGACACTCTCGTTTAAAGGGCGAGATAATTAAAAGTTTTTTCTATTCTACTTTAGACCTCTAACCTACAAAATTAAACAAGAGAGGTATTGCTTTTATACAATGACATTTTTTACAGGTTGATATTTTTCAAAAAAGTTTTTATTAATCTTAATTCTTTGTGTGTACTATTCTGAAAATCAGAATTCGAGCTAAACTCGAGTACGGAGAATGTGTGTCAAAAGTGCGAAACGATGTTATAAGTTTTCAGACAAAATTTAATCAAATACATTTTTGACCAAGTAAATACATACACACCTATAGCCGAGGTTAGTGAATATTACCCATTATCGAACACTCGGCCAATACTATGCAAGCCAATATCTTGCTTACGAGAATATTTGTACGTGTAAAATCAAAATAGACGGAAATGAGAAGAACTTAATGAAACAGTAATCACCAATAAAATTATATTTATAATGTATATGTATAATATAATAGTATAATAATAATGATAAAGATTATATTAATATATATAATATTAATATAATATATCTACAACATTTTCATTTTTCATTAAACAGAAATGTTTGTAGATTAATTTTACTATTAAAACATTGTAACCTATTATTTACAACGGACACCTGTTTACAACGGACAATTATTTTGGTCCCATGACTGTCCGTTATGTACAGATTTTTCTGTGCCTATATGCAAATTGTCGTACTAACAAAACAACTGTCAACATTTATTAACATTTTTCAGTTTTATAAATGATCAAATTAGGTATAATATTTATGTTTTATAAGTTTCTCCTATACCAAGTTCTAGTGTAGTAACTTTTCAGCTTCGATTTGTATACAACCATACCTGTAGATAATTAATTGGTTATGTTAGGTCTCTTTAATATTTTTTGATTCCATAAAAATAGATAAAAATTTGTCAATAATTATTGACATAGATATTATTAAAGAATTTGTAGAAAAAATGAATAATTACATAAAAATATTTGCTTGGCCTGATTTGTTTAATTTAAAAATAAATAATTAACCATCATTATAAATACTATAGAATTTCTATATGAAATATTTTACGTTATTTATTTTTATTATTTTTTTTATTAGTGATCAAAAATACATCGACAATTAGGCCATTAACATAGACGTATTCTGACCTTGGTGGCTGAGAAAGCATAACAAATTTTTAAATCATAAAACCTAGTTAGTTATTTTTTATATTAAACAATTCGCAATGATAAGAATATTTTTTAAGTAAGACCAAAAAGTTAAATCATTGGCATGTGAAAACAATAAAAATATCTATAAAACTAAAATTAAAATACATACATAATACTACTTTGCTGTACTCTACTGATACTGTCGGTACTGAGTAACGACCGCACGACTTTTTTTATCCGGACATGAATTTATTGCAAGTATAGTCCGCTGGGGGGCAGAGCCCACTCGGTCCCTCTCATAAATACGCCTATGAGTCATTAGTATATGTACATTAGTTAATTACTTTTTTTTTTAATTAAGTTATACAATTCAGACTTTTTTTGTAATTAAATTTCTTGTATCTTGTGGGTTCGGTTCTAGAACTTGACAGATTTGTTCAGATATGTAGGATTGGTTTCGGAAATGTTGGCATTTTGGCATTCGGTAATGATGTGGTTGAAAGTTCATAGAACACCATATGTGTTACATAGTGGAAGTTCATCATACTTCATCAAAAAGCTGTGCGTTAGGTCGATGTGTCCAAGTTGAGGATGATGTTGAAACGATTGTATTAAGTGCATTATTGTCAGCTCTTTCATTCCCAAGAATTTCTGAATTCTCGGAATTCCATATGAATTGTATTTATTTCCTTTTTTCAGCTGCTAAGTAGGTTTCTTTTTGATGAAGTTTTGTGATATTGGTTAGATTTTGAGTATTTGTGATAGCGATTAAATTGCTGAGTGAGTCACTAAGAATTTTAAGTTTTGTTTGGGTGTTGTATTCTGGGTAAATTTAACTGATATTTTACTGCTTCGTATATTGGTATCGCTTCTGCAGTGAATATTAAAGTTTGTGAGCAAAATTACTTTATTTGTTTATATTCCGTTTAAATTAAACTAATTGATAAAATGCTTAAGCCTGGTTTAGCGAACGCTCATCTCGCAACTTACTGATAAAATTATTAGTCCTCTCTAGAATGCCAATGGATTTCCATGAATATTACATTAAAATGCTGCAAAGGGTTCTTAAAATATATGTCATAAAAATATGTTAAAGTGTCATTCTTATCGCTTACTACTAGTATTTTATTTGAGATTTATTTTATACATATATGAAGTTTTAAACGTTGAGTTAGGAAAATATGCTGTAACCCGACCCCTATTAATACCTATAGATTTCGATTAAGAGGATCTTCTCTTATCTCAGTGTTTCTCAACCTTTATGTTAAGCCAGTCCATAAATTTTATCTGTGAAAGGTAGATGACCCTAAATATAAAAATAAATAAACCCAGTATGCATTGATATAAGAACATTATTATATTAATGATAGTAATCATTATAATCGTTTTATTATAAGAATTATTATAATATCAAATTATCATATATCTTAACGCAATACTGCAAGACTGCAAAACTGAATTTTTATATATATATATATATATAATTATATTTTGATAACTAAGATATTTTTCTCGTCATAAGTTTACGAACAGCGACCTATCAAAAATATTTTGGCACCCAAGTATTCAGTGTATATGTACGTGTTCCATAATAATTATTTTCTTGGCTTTCTTTATGCAGAGACCACACAACCCCGTTTTTCACGAATCACGTGGTTCAAATATAATAATCCTTTCGCGCCGCTACTGCAGTGAACAATATTATGAAAATATTATAAGAGGCGTAAACTATTTGCAATTATAGATAGGGGGTCAAAACAAAAGTATTCATTGTGAACCAAAACGGAATTCGGTCGCCGCGCTCACAAAAAACAAGTGTATTATGATCAACCGCGGCTTCAGAGACTTACTAGGGGAGGGCATTTTAAGTATTAACTGATAATAGTTGTTTTCCCAAATTAGTACTGAAACACAGAGACCGACTACGTTCCTATATTATGATATACACCTCATATTAATGTCATAATATGGTTTTTCAGGCAAAATAAAATTGTTAGGTATCTACAGATCAAAAGGACATAAATGTAATAAAAAATTTTAATTTTTGTAAAGCTTGGGGAGTCACGGTCCCAGTGCCCCCCCCCCCAGGGGTGGATAGGCATAATCCAACCGGCCCGGGAAAAATAGAATACAGCGGCCCGCATGATTATATCCAAGTTCCAACTAAATAATTACCTCAACTTTGAAAGAACCGACCCGGCAATCACCACCTTTTTTTTTCGACGTTCTTAAATAATATTTAAAATTACAATATATATTATACTATTCAATTTTACACATGTTTAGCTCTCTTCTAACAATTCTACGATTTTTATCTCTTTTGTTTTCTGCACCTCCTTTTCTTTTTAATGCGTTTTGAAGCGTACCTGATTATAAAACATTTTAACAGTACTATACCATTTACATGGTTCGCGTATAATTTTTGTGGAAAAACATGATATATCAGTAATTAACTTTACCGTGGCGTTTTATTAGTGACTATATATGATAATTTAAATCTGAACAATCAGTTATCATTATAGCACGAAATTATATGCATTAAAAACCAATCAAGTATGCGCTAAAAGATCTTTAACATGCACAAGTATATGCACTAATATGTTAAAATATACATTAAAGAAAAAAAAATTTACACTCGAAATTTTGAATAAAATTAAATTTTTAATTTGTGATCATTCAATTAAAATAATACATAAAAAAAATTTCATTTCAAATTATGAAACCTTACTGTAAATACTTTTTCTTCTTCTTAATTTTAAAGGAATTTACTATGATATTTATAGATTTAAGCTTGATTTAAATATATATTATAAGTATTATATTTATTTACTTTTATTTGTATGTATGTACATGTATAATAGTATTAGTAGTAATATTTTTCATCGACCCATTTTCGTCAATATAAGCAGCGGCCCACCGGGAAAATCCCAGTGTCCCGGCGGCCCTATCCGCCCCTGCCCCCCCTTGTAGCCGCGCCTTATTGTGATGTATGCTTAATGTTACGTCTAAAAATCGACCGTTGATCGATCGCTCCCCCCCCCACGCGCTACCCTCAGATTTTTCTGTTCTAAACGTTACGAACGGTTCGCAGGGCAACGTGGTGTGGAACAGGCAGCGGCAGGAGAACAAGATGACCATGACCCTGATCGCGGTGGTGATCATGTTCTGCGTGTGCCAGACGCCGACGGCCGTGATGATGCTGACCGCGTCCGTGTACGAGCCGCCCGAGCGGACGCCCGCGTACTACGTGAACCGCGGGCTGCACACCATCTTCAACTTCCTGATGGTGGTGAACGCGGCGTCCAACTTCATGCTGTACTGCGCGATGAGCCGCAAGTACAGGCGCACGCTGTTGGTCACGTTCTTGCCGTTCCTGGCCGCGCGGCACGCGCGCAACGCCACGCTCCGGTCGTCCGTCAGCTACCCACGGTCCGGCGGCACCATGATCCGGCGCAACACCGAGGTCACGCAGATGACCGACATCGGGAACGCGACGGCCGGCAAACGGGAACCGCTCGTCGTCCGCGTCAATCAAAACAACAGGACAACACAGGCCGCCGCCACCACCACCACCACCACCATCGGCTGCGGCATGCCGACCGCTACCGACGACGTGCTCTGATCGCGCGCCGTCCCTGACCGTCCGATACGAATAACATTTTACGATTTACGTGTACTATTCGTACACGTATGGCGCGCGTAAACATTTCTTCCGCCCAACACCGATTCTTCGTTGTACATACGTTATTATTATTATTATTATTATTATTATTACGCCGTCCGCAGCCGTATCCCAACGGCGGATCCGGTGCGCGTTCATACACCGTACTCGATTTCCCCCGTTTACACGCCCGTCGAGATAAACCGTCTCGTAATGATTTGTTCGCACGTCCCACCGTCTCTTATCGCATCAACCCGCCCTTCCTCGAACTCCCCTACTATCATCGTTCGCAATCGACTAAAAATAATAATACAGGTACATCCGGGCCGTAACGGGAAAACCGTTTTGCGGTTGCGGTGGGTTACAACGACGAGTTTCGGTTTCCACTCCCCTACTTGAATCCACTGTACACGTATGCACATAAGTATGTATAAATATGTAGTATCCCTTTCAGTGCCCGGCCCGAAGTTTGCGTTCAACGCGTTTTCCCGCCCGACGAATTGCTGGTCCCACGCGCGATTCGCAACCCTTCCGGCGTACGCCTCGCGGTGTCACGCGAACATCTCAAGTCTTACCTCCATGCGCTCACGGGTGCCGACCGGGGAAGGCGATCGCCCTGTGTCGAAAAATTAATAAAAAATGATTTATAGATCGTTGGAACGATAGAAAAAATGTTACGTGTTCCCGTAGAATAGTGCCCAGAGGCGGATTTATCTTTTTTACGGCTATAGGCACCAACAATTTGGCGCCACCATATACGTTCCGTGTATTTACAGCAGTCATTTTCTCGCGTCTACCACGAAAAAGATACGTTGCGCGATGTTATCACACGTAAGGTGTAAAATTTGCATTGCACATTAGCCTTCTGAATGGCGGTTAGTTCCGGAAACTTGCTAGCTCCATTTTTTCAGCAATAGTTACCCAACGGTGCTGGCCAAAATTCTTATAGTAGCTTACAATTCACAATGACATTTCGATACGATTTCTAAGGCTTATGAGCGCACCTACAGACGAGTCCAGTATCGGATATAATGCGTGTGTTTTTTAGAAGCGCATGGACTCGCGCAGATGTTTTCAACGGACGGAGCATTTGGAAAAACTACTCCGTACGTACTTACACGGATCACGTCTATGCTTAAACTATATGATGGCGGGTTCGTGCACAGGTGCCCCCGGAGTGTAGCACCACAAGTGCCATCATACGAATCCAGATTAACACAACCGTAATCAGTTTACAAGACTTTGCTGGCAGTATATACAAATATTAATAACAAAAGATCGTTATATTTTAGCTAAATTTTTAATATTTTATTATACTGAAATTGCGTTGGCGCGTAAATTTAAAATTGATTTCGTGGACGTAATTATATAATTGCTAATGGATTATCTCTCACACGACAGGGATTTAAAATATTAATATTATTCAACAAGATTTTAGTGCATATCTGTCACATTTCAACAGGTAATCAAAATATAACCAAAAATTACAGTTCCACAGAAATTTAAGCGTACTCCTCTCAGTCCTCGATGTTGAAAATATGAATAAAAGGTTATACTTGTTTTGAATACGCTTGCAAAGTCAAATAGAATAGAATCAATTCAGTAGTATTAGTGTGATTATAGAGCTAGATAAATAAATTATACATTATGTATTTACCGAAAGATTGATAAAATTAAAATTTCGCAATAATATGATAGCCTTTGGAAAAAATTCATTAAATCCTAGATTTACATATATTCTATTATTATAAAAATGTTGACTTCCTTTGTTTTCCATCATTATATTTATACCTTTTGTGTACTTAGTTTACTCGATTTACATCCACCACATTTTTTTCAATGTTCTTACGCTTACTGTTTTGAAATATTAAAATTGTTATTTAAATTACATTGAAAACCGAATTTCCTAAATTGTTTCCTTTTTGTTTTTCTAGTCAAGTTGCCGAAAAGTGTTCATTATGAAATGTATAAGAGTTTACCCTGTTACTAATACACATTTAGTAGACTGTAGTAATATTTCATTAACGCATATCTAAACCCATAATATTAACAAAATCCTAACGGCCAATCGGGTTATAATTTTTTTTTCAATCTACCCGAAACTGAATATCGGTAAAAGCGTAATGAATATAACCTAACATAACTTTCCCCATTTCAAACACAATACAATGTCCAAATTCGGATATTTTTCGAGTTCTTATCTTCCGCCTTGTCCTCATATTTTGTACATATATATGTATATATACATATATATATAATTGTAAGATCGTAACACCATTGTAGTTAGGTTCAGATTTGAACGCAAGACAAACTGTTAGAGTGAAATTAAAATGCTAGAACATGTATAACATAGGTATATGCACGCTTATGCTGCGGCCTTTAGTAAGCGTGCGATTTTTATGTGGCCCAGAGCAACTGCCTCGAACCCTCATTTCGTAAACCTAACCGGACCTTGAGCGTAAAAGTAAAAAAGAAAGCTTAATTTTTTTTCGAAAATGTGCTAACACACGGCGGGTACATCATGTATATATTTAATGAAGGTGCACGTATCGCGTACAGTGTACATTTGTAACGTTATATCGAATAAATGTGCCGTTAAATTATATTTTATTCTCGTTGTACGTACTATCATATCATTAAATACATATGTGCACATTAGTTTAGACGTGTACGTGGGGGCAGGCAGCACCTGAAATTTTCTAAAAGTCCGATTGACCGTGTGATCAACCAATATTAATAAGTGGCTGTAAAAATATGCAAGCTTTGTAGGAATATCTGCTAGAAATTATTCTTAAGTTAAACCATCCTCCCCCCCCCCCCCGAAATTCAGTAAAACTTATTAATATGTTTTTATAGAATAAAAATGGTACATAGAATATATTAGTATGAAAATGTACAACCTAAAGTCCCTCCCAAAATATTTTTTGTCTACGTGTCAAATAACAGCCCTCAGAAACCATAACGCGATCCATCTTTCATTTAATGGTACGTGAACATGGTAAATAACAATTTAGTCTCGCCGTGAACTATGGTTGTCGACAAAGTGTAATATTAGTTCTATAGTGTGTTCTATTTAAATATATAATAATACACGTATCTTTTGGTGTGTACTTCTGTAGTGTACTGAATACAAATAATCAGTTTTTCATAATATTTATAAAAATTTAGTTTGACACAATACAGTCAATACCTTCAGTGGTGACTGAGGCACCCCGAAAACCCGGGTAGGTATAAGTTATACAAACTAGCAAACAAGCGACTAGTGTTACACGAGCAGTTATAGCTTGAGGCCCAAACTTAAAAATTCTGGAGGGCGTTGGTGGATATGGCCACCTACCCGCCCTAACAATCCACCCCTAGTTACCTTTGAAATGATTCATAGTTAAATGTACCAATGAATATGATGCAACTGGAACTTGCGTGACTGCCCACATCTAAACGCATAATAATTAGTCTATAGTTAATAAATTAATATCTTATTAATAGTATTATAATTATTAGTTAGTCATAGTTTGTGTGACTATTGATTAGACATTAGTTATATACATATATTAAATAATCATTTATATATATATATATCCATGAGACGGACATTTTCTACAGATTGTAAATAAGAAGTACATTTTTACCTTGTTTAAAAACGACTTTTGGGTGAACGTGTTTTAAACTACTTATACATTTATAAATATATAGGTAAATATACACATTATATATGTATAATAAAATTAATTATTAAGTATACTCATATAAAGGGACGGTAGATGTATTTTAATTATCGTCGACTACTCATCTGTTACCATATAAATGTAAAATATTATTATTTACTGTCTTATATTATATATATTTTAGTGGTGTTAGCTGTGTGTAATTTATAGGTACCCCTTCTACAGCTATTATTATATCGACCTTTAATTTTGTTACTCGCATAATAATAAGTTGAGAATTTTTTTTTAATATAAATGTATTATCTTTTACCGAGTGTTCCCACCGTTTACACGCTCAATCCTAAATAGTACACTGGAATGGTGTACTCGCATGATCTAGATTTTAATTTTAATATCTGGCAACAAAACGAGCACGTTTTCTGTTTGCTATTTTTACACCCGGTGCAAACTCGTTAAGTACTCTACACCGTATGTACGAGCGAGCGATTTGTTTTCTTTCGAGACGCTTCTCTATAGGTATACCATAGTCCCATAATCAGAGACACCCCAAGGATTTTTAAGACCTGGGGCAAATTAATTCAAAGGCTCCTCAATCATCACAATAACATACGAGTAAGATAAAAAATATACATTTAAAGTGTTGGTAAATACTGTTTTCCAATCCTCAACCAATCAAGGTCATTTAAATGCATCGATAAAATTAATTACATTTTTAATAAATCTCAACAATGTGTTGTCACATTTAATTTAAATTAAATTTATTTCGAGATAATTTATAAATAGCTATTAACTATTTATAAATAGATAATAAGAACTTGAATGTTGTCACGTTAATACTTGCGATAGGTAACGAATTTCTACATATATTTGTATAAAATTGTTATTCTTCACACTATGGCAATAACCGTAATAAATTATAGTTATATATATTTAAAAATTAGAATAACTGAAAATGTAGCATGTATTATAGCGTTTAAATGTAAACTGAAATTATTTTATTTCATTTAATTTATTAATATTTCATAAAGAAAAATAGTTTAGATATAATATATTAATACTAATAATATCGTATGGATAATGCCGAGTATTCCTTATCAGTTTGGACTTTAAGAGAGCTTCCTTTTAGTTTCCTAGACTGGGGCCTGGGACAAAATGGTTCGGCCCATGACTAAAAACAAATATTTCACATATACTCTCGTGTTCCATCGTTTAAAACCAAACGTAATTGTGTCGTTTATATTACACAACTTGTTACAATTTATTTTGATAGTGTGAATAATACCCTCTATGTTAAACTTTTTATAAGCACAAATATTACAGTAGAGATCTTAGTAATCAATTTATTCTACACTACATTGTATATTATTACGATACTATAATATAATGCATTTTTAGATACCAAAATATGTTGATATTTATAAATAAATAATTTATATATGTATATATATATATATATATATATATATATAGACATACATAAACTATAATTTACACTTACGAATTGGTTTTCTATTCTTGGTATGATAAATAAAATTACTGTTCAATGAACAACTAGCAACAAATTACAACTGGACAATCATAAATCAATGTCAAGCACCAGTACATGTATGCCATATTTTTAAAAGTTCTTTCGTTCTACAACATTGTAACGTATTTTTCTTGTGATCTGTATACATATATAATTATGCTATGAAATTTTCCTTGGCACACATTTTGGTTGAACTCAATGTTATTTTTAGATAAATATTATAAGAGTGTAAAACAAAAAAAAAATTATTTTTATTTTTATTGCCTATGAACAAAAAATAATTCTAATAACATTGGACGGACACAGCACTGTCACCTAGTTGTATACATATAACATAATTTATAATAAAAAATTATAATTAGGCATAAATATAATAGTGTTTAATAATTGTTTCATTTTCGTATGTATATACACACACACATATACACACGTATATATATATATAAGTATGTGTGTATATTATAATTATTTATAGTTAGTTTGGAATGTCAATGGTATGTGTTCAATCAATATTTGTTAACCAAGGCCATGGTCTTCGAAAAATGTTTGAGGTGTTTCTTCCTGAAAAATAAAGGAACAAATTAAAAAATAAATAAAAAGTAAAGTAATAGTTTTAAAATAGGGTGCAAAAATAAAATGTATAGAAAAGGGTTTAATAAATGAAATAATTAAAATATAACTGAAGGTAATAGATAGGGTAAAAGTTTAAAACAAACACTGTGTGTTCTTATAAACATACCATAGCGCCAAAATATTTGCTGACATTTCTTGAAACGCCACTTTTATTGTATTAACATTAATATAAATAAGAACATAACTGTTAAAAATAACTATTAACCCTTAAACCTTTCAACTAACATAAAATTACTATCTTAGTTAGTACTTGTGTTGGTAAGAAATACAAGTATTGGTTAAATATGAGTAAGTAAAAAGCAAATAGGGCATAAGCATATATTTTACTTTTTATTTTAATATCATATTAATACATAATTTTTTTTCAAAATAACAATACTAAAAAAAAGATTTTATTGGAAATAAAAATTTATATTATACACCAATGTTTACAGATAACAATAGAAAATATCTATCATTATAAATTTAGTATTTTTAGTGTTAAATTAAAACGTTGATATTAAAATCCTGATATTTATTTGAGGCATTCTGATTAACATCACTGATAGGCCTTACTTTACTTAATGACTAATATTTTATGAAAGACATTGTTTGAATTTATAAAACAAAAAAAAAACAATACAGTAAAAAATGCAAGTTATTAGTTTGCATGAAATATTAATAATATTGGTTGTGCTTATAACAAGCCAATCTCTTTCAGAGCGCCTTCGACTGCCTCCTCCTACATACAAACACATTAAAATTAATATCCCAAAATTGAAAATATGAAATTGAATAGCATATAATAACTGGAAATCATGCAGGTAATGTATTAAAATGGAAATCAAATAAGGTAACATGGATGGAAATTACATTTTTCAAAATTATAGCTACAAAAATAAAATAATAAAAATGTAATAATTACAATATATTTTTATTTAAACCGATCACTATTAAAAACAAAACAAAACAAAACAAAACCCAGAAATACTACTAAACCCAAAGAATTCAAACAATGTTAATAACATACAACAAAATAAACTTAAACACTAAATACATGAACCCTGATGTACATATACAATATATTTATTTTGATTAATTCAGTAATTACTAAAAAGGCTATATATAACAATTTAAGAACTAGGATTTTAAACAAAAATATTTAAAAAAAAATAAATATGTTCATCAACCCAAAAAATAACTTCAAGTAGTTTTTATAATTACTAATTATACAATATTGAGTCAAAAAATTGAATAAAGTTTATGTTTAACTCAGTAATGAAAAGTATAACTTTATCCCATCACAAATTTCTTTTACATATTTTTAAAGAATTATTGCTTTTAATAATCAATCAAATTATTAAGAATAAAATTAATAATTTTTAAAACATATTTAGAGTATATTTATTGGATTGAGAATAACAATACCATAAATAAAGGTTTTTTGGTAAAATAAAAGGTAACATAAAAATGTATAATCAAATATCAACTCATGTTAGCCATCTTAATAACTATAAAACATTTATAATGAATTGTTATGAATGCAAAAACAAGTTAGTATTGATATTTAATACTTTTCAAAATACTAAGTATTAAAATGATTGACATTACAAAAATATTAGTATGAATTACATTTTTAAATTATAATATTTGACTAGATTAAGTATTAAAGTAAACATTGTGCACTATTTAAACATTTTACTTAGTCTTACATAACAGATTAACTCTGATAATTCATAGGTATTGAAAAAATGTTTAATACAATAATTGAATAATCTTTCAAAATATTCATCATAAAAGAAAAATTTAAAATTGTATAAATTATTCACAATAGAGTATCAACAAATACATAATTATCAAACGATTATATATTACATTAATGACAGCTACATCTGATAATATTGTTTTAAGTATTCAAAAAAACAAGTGTTTAAACAAAATACTTAAAATTTGTAAAAAATGCAGAGAAATAAAAATTAAAATTATCCATCATGAATTTTATTTAATTTAAACAATGGTATACTAGAAAAAGATTGTAATCATTAAACTAATATTACAATTTTTTTTTTTAAGATTATAAACAAATAATGCATAAAAATACTTTAAAAAAATCAATGAAGAATTAAAAAAATTAAAATATTTGTTTTTAAATTTTTTTTAAAGAACTATGAAAAATATATGTAAATAATTTATACTTTTAAAGAAATATCAAATATTTAGTTGCAAAATTAGTTGAAATAATATTTAATGTAATACATATTAGAATCTTTTCAAAATATAAATTATAACTAAATTAAAAAGAAAAAAAAATGTATATTCTAACATATAAAAAGTGCACAAAAAATAATAATAATAATAAATTATAAAGAATATTTTATATTAAAATGGAAGTATAATTTATCAATTTTAAATTTTCATATTTAAAATGATGTTTTAAAAATGTTATACAATTTACTTACATGCAAAGAACTTTTAATAAAATTTAATAATGTTCAGTTAAATATAAGCAGAAATTGCATTCATTTAGGAATAGGAAAAATTATATAATAGTGAATAAAATAGATTATATAGACTATAGAGTTAAATTGCTGATCATAGGAGATTTGACAATTTCAATATATAAATAAGAAAAACTATGTTAAAAGGTTATTATTTAAGTTTGAATATATGGTTAAAATGTAACTAAAGTAATAGCATTGGGTTAAAACAATAACAAAATAGAATCTGTTTTTTAACAATGATAAAATCATCAACTGCTATAGCATATTTAATTAAAATAAAAATATTTATTATTAGTAGCATAATAAAGGCATTATGGAAGGCAAGTCTTTGGAATACACCATATAAATGTAATACAACAAAACATAAAATGTTAAATAATTTTTACTCTACATTTGTATATGTTAATACAAAATTTGTTTTACAAAGCTAGATAATATATTTTTAAATTTAATCTGGCCATTTTAATTTGGTAATTCATTTAAATCAATGTTTATAACATTAAAACATTAGAATTTGACTATAATTTTAGTTGACTAGACTGAACTTTGTAAATATTTGTATATAATCAGATGCATACACAAAATTAAAATTTATTAAAACATAAACAAATATAATTGTACAATGTTAGATATGTACTTCTTTGTTATTTGCTATAATAAATTTTATATCTTAGTTACGATTGATGATTAATCAAAATAAGTTAGACAGATATGAGCAAATTAATTTTCTAATTGGCAAGATATATTGTTATTATATATAGTCTTATTTGTACCTCAGTATAAAATAAATGTACTTTTAACTTTTTTTTTTCCAACCGATAAAATTGATTTAAATAATTTAGAATAAAAAAAATTAAAGTTCTAATGGAGTGTTTCCATAACTAACCTCTTGCAAGAGATCCTGGGCTGATATAGCCTTGAGTACATTTTTCTTACTAGTCTCCTGTATCTCCCCACCCAATAATAACTCATCAAGAATAAAATATGCTTTTTCAAAGTTGAATATTATATCCAGTTCACATACCTACAACAATTGTAATACAACTATTAAACATATATAGAATTTATAAAAAAAGTAAAAACTTACACTGCCAAAATACTTGTCTAATAATTCAACATAGCGATGAATGATTTCCAAAGTCAGAAGTTCATTGTCATTCTGTTCTATAGCACAGCAAAAGTACAAACTCGCATATCTAAAAGTAAATTACAAAATAAAATATTTCACATTTTTTTTTATATAAATTTTTAGTTACACACCTTTTGTACACAATTTTCAATTCTTTCCATTCAAGAAAACTACACATTTTAGGCTTCCTTGCCAAAATAGTAGTTATAAGTTCCCTAGTAATTTTCTTTTTTACTTTGTCAGGATGAGCAACATACCATTTTTGAAGCCTAAGCTTGCCTTGGCGACTGAATAGTAACATAAAATGCATCTAAACAGCCAAATTCAATTATAATAGAAAAATTATAGTAACTGAAAAATAAAATATATATATGTACAGTGATAATAGATTTATTGCAATAAGTACCTCAAATAGTTAAATTAAATTGTACAAGATAATTAACAATTTAATAGTATTAATATATCATAAAAATATAATATAACTGTAGATTGTCTTTTAATGATTTCCAAAAAACTCCAGTGTTCACAGTATAATGGCAAATGTTCTGTTAATTGTGTGTTCTTGTTTACTAAGGGAGAATAATGATAATCTTAATTTAGGTCGTTAAATGTTACATTTAATTATACAAAATAGCCATTCATTAAAATGACTAACTAATTAATCAACAAGATCAAATAGTCAATACAATTATGTTGACATGATAATATAATTTATGCACGAAGCATAAATATTTATTATCAAACAAAAATTAATTTGAAGAAAATTGTTCTCCCTCAACTCATAACCTCAAGTCTCATGCATTCCTCTAGATAAACTTTAATTTTCTGTACATATGGCTAGATCTTTGGACGAGCTAAGACGTTTCAGCGATCAGTGGCATGCAGAATGGTTATTAACACATTGTGTTTGGGCAATCGGACAAACTATAACAACATTACGAGTTGAGCTCGAATAAGCTACACTTCAAAGGCGCTAAAAACTTTTTATAACATAAATAATTGATGTTTTTCAAGCATCTCACCATGTTGTTCTGCAAAAGCTATTGCACATTATGTTACAGCAAACACAGCATAACTGTTGACCACAGCACCTATTCCGCGATTGTGGACTAAAAATCGTACGGATTGTTGTTCGGCTGTACGTGCGATCGAAACAATTCGCAAGTGGTGACGACCCCAGGTCGACGGACTGAAAACGGAAGTTCGCTATTCGATCACATTTGCGTTACGTAGACGGTAATCGGAAATTACGTAGCTAACAATTGATGACGATCGACGTCATTATCTAATCGGTACCACAGTCGAGACTCGAGCGAAAGCTCAACAATATTGTCAACCAAAATCCAACTGCCGCAAGTGGTTCAACTGATTAAGAACAGCGGTCTGATCTGTGGATCTACGTCACGATCGGACATGGACACTTTGCGTATAAGCAAAATCGGCTGATTGTGGCCTTGAACACGGTCTCCAAAAGGGCGCGGCTTACGTTATCTATTAAATGAATCGTATCACAGAACGATTTACATAAATGATAATTGTACGGTTGACGATGTGGAAAACATTCTTCTTGTAAGTTAATGCCATAGAATATTATTATTATTATTATTATTAGTACTGTTAATACGGCGAAAAAAAAATTGTACACCGTGCAAGTGAAAATTGTTTCCGTTTTTCATAATATCGTAACCAATAGCAGTACACGTTACCGACGTCTTATCAGATTACGGATGCGATCCAACAATACTTCCATACGGTGTGGATACAGTGTCCCAATCAGCTGGTCGAGTGTCGCTTCCATGTTCTGCGATTGTTTACTGTTCTTGGACGAACGAACGCGGGCGCGGTGGCGGTACTGTAGCGTTATTGGTGGCACCGGTGAAACGCGTTCGACGGCGGCGTCTTAAACGTTGTTCCCCGGGATGTGCTAACCTCTAGGCCGCAGCAGTAAAGATGCAGCCATTCAATGCTCTACAAGTAGAAGATTACGGCACGTTGAACAAACGACAATTACCAGATCTCCATCACGTTGTTGTCGGAAGTCGCGAGTATTTTCAACTCAATGTTTAATCTAAACCAGTTGTTATTGTAATAACCATTATGTTGACTCTGGTAACCGTTTAACTGAATTGTTGTGATTGTTCACAAATCGTAAGTTAAGGTTTACACCCATAAAAGTTTAGATTTTAAATCGATTATAATCATAACATCAATTATGTTGACTCCGGTAATCATTTAACTGAATCGTTGTGATTATTCACAAATCGATAGTTACGGTTTCCATCCTTGAAGTTTGGAATTTTTCCCTTAAATAATATTCTGTAAGCGGATCAATTTCTCAGAACGAAAAAGAAATTTTTAACGGTAACTCAAGGTACTGACAACTTTTTTTTGATTAGAATAATAGTCGTACCACCTATAGTTTATTGGACATCTGTATGTGTTACTTATAAATTGAGTGAAATACTTGTTGGACGTTTCTATTATTTATCCCTATACCATTTGGTTTCATGTATTTCTCTGTTAAGATTTTTATAAATGCATACGTGTATTGTTTGTACTAATTCTTCTCCGAGAACAAGACAACTTGGCAATGTTACTTATCATACGTAAGTACTTTTAATCCTCAACATATTTTAGGATGTAAAGCATCCCGAAAATTCCTTTATTTGAGCCATGGTAATTAATCTTCGGATGTTAATTGTTGTATACTTACTATTCATAGACTCCCTACTGATCCATTAAGAAGGAAAAGATGGGTTCAAAGTCTTAAAATTAAAAATGTTTTGGATTGGCATCGTATATGTAGTTATCACTTTACAGATGATGATTACATTGTGCGGGATGGATTTAAACGAAAATTAAGAGAATCTGCTGTTCCGTCATCAAAAATGTATATAAAAAAAAAATTATTCTAGTATTATTTGATTTATGTTTATTATTTTAATTTATTTTTATTTTATTTTTTTATTTGCATGTAGCGTTGTAACTCAAGACAGTAATATAAAACCTGAATTTGTGGCACGTTTAAGACGTAAATTAAGAGTTACGAGGTGAGATTACTTTTTTAAATTGTATTTAATATTTACCGAGTTATTTACTTTACATATATATATTTATAAATTTTAGTGACTTAATTTATCCTGAGGAACCTATTTCAACCAGGAAACCAAATAAATCTGTAGCACAAACTGTAAAAAAAACAAAGCAATCTGTGAAAAACACGGAGAAAATTGTAGAAGAAACAGTACAAACTGAGGAAGGAATGGATAAAATAGAACGTACTGCAGTAGAAACCCGTATGGGGCATACAGTCCATACTGTGATAGAAATAGAGCCAACTTTACTAGAAAAAATAGCAAGACTAGAGGAAATAGAAAAGAATAAAAGAGAAATAGAAAATCAATCAGTAAATAATGCAGTCATAACACCAAGGAGATCTACTAGAAAAATTAAAATTAAAAAAAGTGATGATGAAATTGTAAATAATTCATTGGTTCAATCAAGGACGAAGACACAGAATGATACAAGAAACGAAACTACTTCTACATTGCAGAATCAGACTAAAAAGGTAAAAACAAAATAACTACACATAAAATATATTTATACATCATATATTAAGTCTTAATTAGTAAATATATAATATAGCAAATATTACAAAATATGGTTAACGGTAATTTTTGTTCCAAACCTGTCTAAAATAATAACATATTTTAATTATTACTTATTATTAATTATTTACAATTTATGAAATTTTCATCACTATCTTAATAAATGAAAATGAAACCTAACAAAAATCATCTAAATAAACAATTTTCTATACAGTGATCCTTTATTATCCGCAGTTGAGTCCACGATAAAATGTTATTAATAAGATAATGTTTTATCATTATTATTTGAACACTAGATAATTTTTATTAGACAACTATGTCAATATTTTTTTTAGTTATTATAGATAAATACCATACATAAGGTACCTACAAGCTACACATCTACGATTAATAATTGTCAGTTATTGTTCGGTTTATAGTTTATTTTTCTTTGTGCGTGATACGTGTACATACAGTTACTTCTAATAAATTTAGTGTAATTTAAGTATGTACAGTATGTGTATAAATAATTAATAAATTAGATAAATTAAAAATAATAAATTAAAAAATGGTAAAAATATAGTAATAATCATATTGTGATTTTTAAAATTAAGAAATTAAAACCTAATCTCCTTTTTTATATTGATTTATGGTTTCATTATCCGCGCAACTTTTCTGAAATGCAACCTCTGAGGATAACGAGGAATTACTGTGATAGTTCCAACAAATTGCTTCTTAATGTTTACAATTGACATTATACCAAAATAAGTTAACAAAAAAGTTAATTTGATAAAAATATTTTTTATAATAATTAATTTTTTAAACTTTTTAACTAGAATGTTTAATTATTGTCATATTTCCTATTAGCCTTATTGTACTTAAGCTTTCATGTGTGTTTATTCAAATAAATAATCAATTCAAATTATGGATTGTATAATATCCCTGTAAACATCTAAAGTATATTGCATAAATTAATTCATAACAGTAATCGATTGGCATCCTTACATAGAACTTAAAATTATTTAAAATTAAAATCAACATTTTTTATGGTTAATAATAAGCTAAATAAAAATCAATAATTTTAATCAGTTTTATTTATGTTTTTTCAATAAGTAAAATATCTCTGTGTCATAATTGACAAAAAATTGACCTGAAGTCCTCACATCAAATCAAAAAGGAACATTGTCAATAGTTGACTTCACTTTGTTAAATTCCGAAATTAAAACTAGCTTTCCACATAAAAATTACCATCAACAAATTTTTATTAAGGCCTATCTGATCTGGACTTATGTAAGCCAAATCTGGAGATGTAAAACCATTCTAAATATTTTCCCATTCCAATCCATCACTTTCTGCACCATGGTATCTGTAAATCAAGGTAGCCACAAAAAATTGTAAAAAATTACAGTCTCTTCTAATTCTTTAATTGCTGAATTTGCATCCAATTGCTTCCTAGTAACACCCCTTCCTTATGCTTTCTTAAGAGAAAATGTCAAAATTGACTACCTATATGATTGTTGGTAATTAAACAATTATAATTTAATCTAAAAAAAATAATAATAATGTTGGGTTTTATCACTGGGTGGCCTCCCTCCTCATGTGTTTCATGTTGTATGTTCAAATTTGCTTATTATGCCTTGTTGCATAGGTTGTAAATATTCTTTTAATTAAATCAATATACTTCTTTAAATTATATTTAATTATCAGAGCTTATAACTTCTAACTCTAATAAAGGTAAAAGGTGATAAGCGAATTAATATGCATTTAAAACAATTCATATAATAGTGCTTAAACATTCACTAAAAATATTAAAGTTTGCAACAACAAAAAAGGAAAGAAAGCTGTATTGAAAGTAATTGACAAATAATTTATATATCATATCTGGCGTACATCCAAATATGTAGTCCTGAAATTATTTTTGAGTGCTTAAAACTGTGTGGAAACTATCAGGTCTTTTGACATCAACCCCTTTCCCTCCACGCCATTCAATTATATATATATATATTAATAAATAACTATAATTTTAATAATGCAATTAATATTATTACAATTAATTTACCAAATACATAAAATATACTTATAAATTAAGATTGTAGAATGTTCCATAATTTTTGTTCTATACTTTATTTTTCTGGATCTGTTGACATCAGTCGTTCTATATTTTAAAATCCATCTTTAAACAGTCTTCACGGTTCTATATATTCAATAGTGGACCGTTTATATTAATCAGCATCAGATTTGAAATATTGTAAATAGTTAATCTTGAGTGTATGTCAAAGTGAATAATATTTTTCAAACAAAATCCACATTCGAATTCCGCTTTAGAACATAAAATTTTTTGTATATTTTATTTAGTTCTTGGACTTTAATGGTTTCTTTATCGATTAATATTCTTAATCCTCTTCATGTTTTTTCTAGTGATAGGAATAATCGAATGATACGATTATTCCCATTACTAATTTATACAACCAGTTCAAGCAGTTAAATCATGAATTATTCAATTATTTTTTTCGATTACTAATCATTCGATTATTCCCATCACTAGTTTTTTCTTGATTTATGAGAAATTTTTTACTAAGTCTAATTTCCTTCCTCTTCCATTCCCTTTCTTCCTATTTTTTTAACTTCAGTCTGTCTATTGTAGAGATGTTGGAATAATCGAAAAAAAAAATAACCGAATGATTAGTAGTCGAAAACAAAATAATCGAATAATTGAATAATTCATGATTTACTGCATGAACTGATTGTATAAATAATCAAATGGTTATTTATAAACGTGAAAGTGAAATGCATTTTCAATCTAAATATTTATATGTATTAAACCAATTAGTGTGGCAATTACCGATACCGGGAATTATATCAACGATTAAAAATAATATAATACTGATGAATAGTCGACTTCTTAATTTAGTACCCAATGGACAATGAGTAAAACATGCAATTTTTTCGAATAATTCGATTAATTTGCTTCTGATAAATATATCTGGTACCATTATTTGGATTATCCATTTGATTATTCCCATCACTAGTCTATAAACCAGAGGTTCCCAAACTGTGGATCGTGACTCAAAAAGGAGTCTCGTTATATTTTTCATGTGTTTCTTTTATTTATGGTTGATGTTTGATTATTTAGTTTTATTATAAACTATTATCTGCATTTGTGACAGTTACAAATTTACTGCGATTAATAGACATAATATTTCTTTATATGTCTATGCTCTGTTGTCAACACAACGCAATCGGATATTTGATTATTGAAAATATAGCAATATATTTGAAACAAATTAGTACCTGTTAGATGTTCAAATAAATTGATTATTTTCAGTAACAAACGGTACATTGAATACGATACATGCACGCAGTTTAAATCTTACTATTTTTCAAATAACCAATAAATTGTTTTTTTTTTTGAGCTTTTGTACAGTTACTATGGACATGTGGTTAAATAAAAAGTCAATGACTTAAAGTTCTGTGAAAACTGAAGAAACAGAGATAATATCTGAGTCAGTGGTTAAAAAAAGAAAATTAATTGATGATGAGCTTACAAGTTTTTTGCAAGCAAAATAAAAAAGTGGATATCAATCCAGTTATAAAAAATTGGAAACAATTACATCCTTCAAATTAAAATTGTATACTTACTAATTAAATGACATATTATAAGCTTTTTTTTATAAATATAATACTTTTCTTCAATTTAAAATAATGAAAACAGCAAAAAAAAAAAAAAAATGTTTATAGATATTATTTTGGGTCGACAAAATTGAAATAATCCAAAGTGGGTCGTACTATAAGAAGTTTGGGAACCTCTGCTATAGACAAATAAGTAAATAACTGATATATTGATATAATTATTATTTATTACCGACAAATCTTAAATACACTGTACAAAAAAAATACAACATATTATTTTATCAAATTATGAATTCCCATAGGGCGGTTAATCTAAAAATAGACTGTTATATAAAAATCCTGTTATTATATCATGTTATCTACAGGCAAACCGCTTCTAACAACCCACTTCTAGCGATATAGGAGTGTGGTCATTAAAATTATATTACAAGTTATCCAATTTTAAATTTATTATATTTTTTGTTTCTTATACTTAGACTTTTACTTTAGTATACTTAATTTGTATGAAAATTATAATTTAATATTAATTATTTTATTATAACACAAAATTAAAACTGTACTTTACATAAATTTCATATTGACGTTTGGTACTATACTGATATAAGTTGGTGTAGATAAATTCTAAGAACTAAAGATGGGCGATTTTCAAAAGTGAATCGATTTAAATCAAATTGAAAAAAATTTCTTATAATTGCATATAATATTAATAATTTAATACTTTTAGTAAGTACTTTTAGCTTCTATACTAATTAATATCAGTGCGAACTCACGTAAATCACTCAATTGATGCAATTGTGTGATTTTGCATAAGTTGTTGTGGACTAAATGTTCCACTTAATAATACAATTTTAACATTTGCTGGAGTGTGTGAGGTCGTCATAATTATTGGTTTTATTTTTAATATATACTTGTATTTATTACCTGGATATATTTTGCAGTTTACGCAGTTTTGTGTGAATAGGCTTTGGTTCTGAGTTCCGGTCACTCAATATATATTTTAAAATAAAGAAAACATAAAACCAGTAATTTATTTTATTTGTTTACCCTACACAGAACCATATTGGTAAATCCACAACGAATTATTTTTCAATATAATTAGATATAAATTACATCTAATTCTTTATAAGTCATGAAAAGTTTGTCTTTGATAGGCAAGATTTGATACATTCATTTGAAAATGAATAAAACTCATTTAAAAAAAAGACTGCATGTTAAATAGTATAAGCACAAAATTGTAAGAAAGTAGTTAGTAAGCAGACCATACCAAGTCTTTTTTTTTACTGTGTATAAGTATCAAACAAAATTAATTTAATCATTTGTTGTGTAGTATAAGTTTCACTATTATATATAAATTAATATACATTTTTCATCAACATAATTTCAATGTTTCAATTGAATGTCTTCATCATTAAATATTTTTACTTACGTTTTGATCAAATCTTATGTATAGTGAAGTACTATAACATATTCTTTTTTTTTAAAAAAAATTTATTCTTTAAAGAATATGCTATTTAATAAAATTATCATTATATACCAATTACAAGTAAAATAAATTTTAAATTAGCCAAATCGATGAAAATAAAATGGATTCAACTATAATATTGCCTGGGCATAATTGATTTTAAAATCGATAAATCGCCCACCTCTACTAAGAATCATTTTTACTGATGTCTGATATCGAATGGATATCACAGATTCAAATCTGTTATGTATTAATAAATCTTAATAATTATAAAAGTCCATATTTCTATTTATCATTATTACTAATGCTCGTTTGCATTGTTAATCTATAGTCGATGTTATTTTCTTCAGCTGTATTTCCGTACTAGCTGTTTTGTTTTTGATATTTTACTAAATTTATATTGTGTTATTTTTAAAGACCTATTATTCAATGGGAATTGGAATTAAATGTCAAGTTAAGAACTGCCCAAACAAATATTCAAAAAACACAATCAGTTTTTTTGGTTTTCCAAATGATACAGCAACTCGATCAATTTGGATTAGAAACTGCGGACTATATGGTGTAGTTAAACCTGTAGGAAAGCTGAAAAGTACTATAAGGATATGCAGAAACCATTTTGAGGATCGTATGTTCTTAAATCCCAACAGACCTAAAAGACTACGACCAGACGCTTATCCAACATTATTTCATGATAATGATGGTAAGAGATGTTTAAATAATTATTAAATAATTGTTTACCCATTTTTAAAAAAATATCTTCTTTCAAGTATTTATAGGTTCAGCCACTTTCGTCCTAAACCTCCACTCGTCTCAATTTTCTACATCACACTAACAGCCCTCGTCATTCTCAATCGTATCCAACCATTTATTTTTTGGTCTTCCTCTTCCTCTCTTCAACATTCATTTGATCCACTGTTACTGATTTTGTTTTCTCTAGCCACTTGCCTATACCATTTCAGTCTATTTTCTCTCATCTTGTCCACTATCAATACTACACCAATATTACTTCCAGTGACGCCATGCTTCTAAAATTTTACTCAGGCCCAATAAAATATAGCGTCCACAAGCCTACATTTTTACTTTGCTTAAAAAAATAATTTGTGTTCTCAAATTATAAGTACTAAGCATGATTCATACTAGTCAGACAAGTATCGACAAATACCGTACCGCAAAATATTTTATTATGTGTTTTAATTCAAGTAATTCACATTTGAACGTTTCCATTCCCTTCATACACATATCTATCTGATAGTATCCATCCAGCATTCCTTGCTATAATAATCTCAAGGTCAGAATATTACAAAGTGCAAACCATAAATCTCTCTGATTCCTGACCTCATTTTACAAATGTGGTCAGGCCTGAGTGTAAGGTTCAGCGCCACTGACTACGTCTTACATATTTGTTCCTTATTATATTTTTCTTGTCACTCCACTTATCCATTTAAGCATTCTCATTTCCACAACATTCATACTACTATTCTCCTGTCATTCACCCAATACTCGGAACCATATAGCATAGTAAGTCTCGCTACACTCCTGTAAAATTTACCATTTAGCTTCATTGGAATTCTCTTATCACATTAAAGGTTCGACCCTTCTCTCCATTTAATCCAAACGCACTTAATCCTATGTCTTACATCCATGCTAAAACCCCATCTTTTTGTATAATTTATCCTAAATTTTTAAAGTTATTGACTTTACTTATCACAATACTGCTTATTGTTTCCTCTTCCCTTCAACTTCTTGTTATCTTCCTCCAAAGTTATACTCTATATTATTTGTTTTATTTCTACTAATGCGTAATCCCTTTCCTTCAAGGGCTAACCTCCACTCATTCAACCTATTAACTTCTTCCAGATTGTCTCCTATCAAAACTATATCATCCGCAAATTTCATACACCATAATATATTATCCTGTATCTCTTTTAACCTCATTTATTATCTCATACAATAATATGAAATAGGGCATCAAAAACCATCAATGGACTTCAAAAGGTTGAGAACTAAAATTAAACATAATGTTATTGTGGGATTTATTTTATACTCGTATTAAAATAAAAAAAAAAGATTTTTTATTAATTTACTAAACCATTATCTTATTTCAATTAGTTTAAATCAAAAATAAATAGGTATACATATATTTATAGAATTAATTATATATTTTAATGCATTATAAAAATTATCTACAATAAGCTTTAATTAATATTTTTAGCATATTTGTATATTTTGTTTTAAACCTCAAATCTGTATGGTTTAGTTAATTCATGACACTGAAATAAATGTAAAAACTTTTAAATTTTTCCAAAAGATCCATTGGATATTTGAAGCTGAAAATATTGCCTCTATCTACACTCAACTAATTCATTAAGCTATTTAGAAAGATAATCATATTAAAAACATTAAATTTCTTTTAGTTCTCTATAAATATATGTATTTTTATATGTGTATTAACAATTTTAGGTGATACTTCTCAATCAACACTTTCTAATCATGAAAATATGAATATGATTAGTGTTCCATGTACAATTAATGATGGTATGGAATCTCAGACAAATTCAATGATTAAAACTGATACTGATGATGAGTATCCTCTAAATGTAAATATTATTAATTTTGTTGATTTAAAATTATGCAAATAAATTCATAAAATAGTATATTTTAAAACAAACCGCTTAAATCAGTTCAATGAAATATATAAGTTTATATTGGTACATCGATTAAATTAAAACCTTAACACTGAAAGGTGTTTTGATGATTTTTTTTTTATATAATTTTTTTTTTTTTACTGTGTTCCCTCATCATTTACACGGCATACAATATATTATATATATGTATATATCATGTATTTAATTTTAAAGGTGACAGAAAATATTTTGGATTCAAAATTTGAATTGAATTCAACTTTTTTTTTACTGTTTACAGGTTATATAAATACATTTGTTTTTGATTAATTCTATTTTTTAACTAATTTTTTCCTTGTATGTGCAGTAAAATAAAACTTTCTTAAATAGAAACAACTAATTTTGAGACTGGATTTGGATTGCTTTAATTTTCTGAGCAAATTTTACATTAACAGTTTTTTTTATATCTTCAAAATTGCCATCTTGACTATGGTTAAAAGATTAGAATTAAGTAATTTGTAATTACAGCATTTATTGGTTAAGATTTTCTTGTACAGTTATTGTATTATTGGCAGTAGCCCCTTGATGGAAAAATAAATTCATACAGGTATCTAAATTGACAACTTCCAAAAATGTTGATAGTGTGTTTGACATAAAGTTAAGGTTATTTGTAATCATAAGGACCCAGTAATTTACCACATAAAATTCCACACCAGACATTCGTTCCTCATATGTATTGAAAGTTTGAATCATTTACGCGATCAGTATTATGAACTGACCAATATCAGTTATTTTACTTGTTGATAATATCAATAATAGTGAATTTCGATTTGTCAGTGTAACAAATATATTTTAAAAATAGTGGTTCTTTTTGAATTCTTACCATTAACAGTTCTCTATTGGAATTATCAAGTTATTAAATGTTGTGTTTTAATGTAACAATTTATATATATGTTATTTATGATTTTTTTAGATTGATTATGCTTTCCCTACAGGGTCACTTCTTTAGCCAAATCTTTAACTGAAGAATTTAATGTATGCCAATACTAGCAATTCTAAATTTTCTTAATGTTCATGTGCTTATTGTCTCCTATACAGCGGCAGTCTGCTATATCTGAAAGTTCTTTTTTTCTCTTAAATTTTTCACTATTTGTAAAAATGAATTGTGGGATAGATGATATCTCTTGGCATATCATTCATCATAAAGCGTTATGCAAATTTTGATGGCATTCACAAAAATGTCGAATTTAAAGAAATTTAAAAACTATAAAGGTCAAAGTTGTTTAGAAAAAATAAATCCATCATTCTGATAGTGATTTCTATTGGAAATTTTTATTTTACCATATATGTACAGACAAAAATTAGTTAAAGATTAGAATTTATCAACAACAAAATTAAATTTATGTATCCTGTACACAGTAAAAAAAAAAACCTGAAACAAATATAAGTTAGTGTGTCCAAAATATTTTTTGTTACCGTTAAAATTTAACACAAGGTATATATTAAAATTAATATATTTGTATATTAATTAATTTGTGTTTTGTTTTTTGTTTTATAACATGAATGATATATCAAATACAAAGGATAATATGGATGTACACAATTATTGTTCTATACCTGGATGTAACAATAAGTATAATGATACAATTGGTTCTGAAACCTTATTTGTACTTGGAGATGTAATTCTTTTACTAATTAATTAACATTTTTCTTGTATAATTTTTAATTAGAATTTTAATATAATTTATATATTATATATTTTTTAGGAATCTAGAGCAAATAAATTGAGTTTAATATATGGTGTTAAGTTGACTACAAATAGTACATTATGTAAGAGACATTTTGATGCAGCAGACACAAATGAAAATGAAATCCCATTAGAAAATAATTGTGCATTAAAAGCACCAAATACATATAGGAATGCATCTAAACGATCGATAATTGATAATGAGAATGATGATTTGACTATAAAGAAAACAAAGAATAATTTTTCCGGTATGTTAATGTGTACTATATTGAAAATACATTTTTCAAAATCTATTTTCTCTTAAAATGTATATGCTCGTTTTATTTTGTTTTAGATGAATCAAAAACTACCACTAGTTATAAAAATGTAGATGAAAAATACATCAGTACTAGCCCTGTACTCTCAAATCACATACCGAATGATGCATTTGTAAATACTCAAGATGATAGTTCTGAGGAACGGTCAAGTTTAGATGAATTGTTTCCGAAAATTTTAGCTAATAAATCTTTATCAGTCACTCTAAACAGTTTAGGCACTGTTCAACACTACTCAGGACAAGATGGGGTTCAAATTGAATATCATCCTGAAGACATCATTGAAGAAGACAAACCAAAAAAACCTGTAATTAAAGATTCACTTTCAATAACTTCATCATCTGATGAATCTATACCTCTTTCTCTCCAATCAAAATTTAAAGAAATAATTTCAAAATCTCGCCATAATAAACCTATATCTATTACATTTGAAAAAAAGGTTAATCCTAATGAAAATTTAAGTTCAAATGTTCTACCATCATATCCAGAAGATCATTCTGATTATGTTACTTCACTGTTAGATAGTGAAGATAATTATTTGCAAGTTCGGAGTGAACAAGTATCAGCAATAGACTCTACCAAAACAATAAATTCAACTATTGACGATAACAACGAATTAGTGTGTATAAAACTTGAACCTGTTGATGATTTATTTCAAACAATTTCAACTGACGATGTTAAGTCAGATTTTTGTGAACCAAATGTTAACAAAAATTCACCATTAACTTCAACTATAGACTTTGCGCCTAAGACTAAAGAGTCCACTGAGCAAAAATCTTTACCTGTTTCAAACTTAAATATAAAATCTGAACCAATTGATACAATAGATGATGAATCTCAAACTTTAAATGAAAGTTATTTAGTGGATAATTTTCAATCAAATGCTGAATCAACGATTCCAACTACTTCAAATGTTAAATATATGACTGATATTTTACAAAATAATACAAATGAATCTATGCCCAGAAAAAGTACAAAAATATCAACAACTAATTATACTAACCAAGTTAATTCATCTGTCAATTTAAATTCTACACCAATTAGTGTTCATCCATCAACTTCAGCTAACAATATAATAACTATTAGTGAAGAATCAAAACTTAAGCAGCTATTATTAAACTCTTCATCTAATAGTTCTATATCTATTACTACTGTACATTCTGATCATCAACCTAATGTTTCAAATACTTATGCTAATTGTTCATTGGTTAATACTTCACAATCAAATTATCTTCTAAATGGGCAACAATCAACTGCAAATTCTAGAGCTACAGATCAGGTGTATTCAAATAGTTTAGTTCTTCCATATAATAACAAACAGCTATCAATTGTAAAACGTCCCTTGCTAAACAAGAAACGTCGTTCACAAAATAATCAATCAGTGGACAATACTACACCAGTAATTTTCAGTTGTGTGTCATTAAATTCTAATCAAAACAAAAACAATGAATATAAACAAGCAAGTCTTTCAATGAACGAAATAGCCAAATCTATTTCACTTCCTGGTAATTTTTGGAGACACCATATTAACATAAAAAGTAAGGCACATCGATTTATAGAGCTAGATCAAAATATGAAACCTATCAAGAAAATTTATTTTTACAAAAGTTTAGTGCCGGATATTAATATTAATGGTAAAAGTTTTGAATATTATGAAGAAATTAGAACTCCAAATCAATTAGAAACTCTTTTAGAAAAAATTGATGAAATTGAAATATGTATTGGCTATAATGGATTACATCATGAAAAATGTATTGCTTATTTTGAAGATACATCTGAAGAAACTGAATTATGTCATAATTGTAAAATGTTGATGACTGACAGTAGTAACTTCTCGGAAGATGATCTAATAAAAAATAAATCTATTTTAACGAAAAGGCTTCAGAATCAAGTGAGTGTAAGCTTATATATAACATATTTAAAATTTAATTTGTATCTATTTTTAGCTATTTGAATTGGAAGACAGTATAGCTCAAATCAAAAATAAAAAAAAAATACAAATGCAGAAGAGAGAAGATTTAGAAAATATTTTAAAAGTTATTAATCCATTCAAAGTATTAAATGCTTTGAAACCTCCTGCATATATTAATTAAAAACTTAGTTTTAAAATTCTTAATTAAAATAAAATAAGCATTAATTTATACACTCCCAAGAGTTAATATGCCATTTTTACTATAAAAACCACTTAAATTTATATACTTTATTAATAAATCAATAATTTACAATTTTTATGATTTACATAATTAAATTTTAGATGTCAGAAAACTAAATCATCCCCTAGTTTTTGTACTATTACATAATATAATATATTCTTTGTGTATATCCACAAGGGAAATAATTTTTGTATTTTGATGTAATTTAGTATCATTTATTCGTTGTCAAAAAAAAAAAAAAACATGTATTTTATATCCTTTTGTTTTTAATTTATTATAATTCTGCTTGTAATTCTATTAAGCTTTATAATTAGAAATGAAAAAAACTTAATTAAAATTACCAAGCTGTAATAGTGTGTTAATGAATTCATTCACCAAATCTCAACATATTCATTATCTACTTAGTTTTTAACGACTATTCTTTAATCATAAATGATGCTAAAACTATATTCAAATAATACTCATTATTAGGGCTAATAAGTTTATGCATTTAAATGTTTTCTAACTACATTGTAAAATATGCTGAGGTTAATTTCTGTTTCATAACAATAATTAAAATATCCTCTTGATGAAGAAATTACTATTTTACTTTTTTTTATAAATAATGTGATACTACATGAGTACTGATCATAGAGTAGTGTAGTTATGAGTATGTTTTTTTCGCAATGCTACGCATAAATCGCTCTACACGATTAGACGAATCACTGCAAAACCGATATACCAGTAGCGTAGCCAAATAGTAATGAGGGGGCTGCAACCCCCCCCCCAATATTAAAAAAAATTGTATAATGGTCTATGAAAATCGCTAAAAAAGTAAATATATTTAAAAATTTTAGTATTAGCACTTTACAGCTATCTATCTATGATAGCAGGTATTTATTGCATATAATATTTTGGATCGATCGCGAATTCAACTTTAGAGTCAAGACTTGTTAAACTCGCATTATTATCTATTCATAGAGACATTGAAATTTCAGATAATCGAACATTTAAAACATTTGTTAACACCGGAAAGGCTCAAAGATTAAAATTATCACTTCAATTATTTGTCATTAAATAAGTATTGCTAATTATTTTTATCCGTCATAATATTGTATTCATTTTTATTAAGTCAGTGTTTGATTTATTACATAACATTTTGGTCTATTAAATTATGTCCTATTAAAAAAAAAATCATTGCTATTTTTATTTATTTTTTTTAATAAGTAATACGGGTAAAATTATTTAATATTACTATAAATTACAATATCCAAAGAATTTAAAGTATACAAGAGTATTATTAAATCAATATATGTTAAGGGTTATAGAAACCAAAATCTAAAATATAACTTTGGCATCCACATGTTAAACTAGTATAACTTCTTAAACAATAAAATTATTTTATAATATAATTTTTAGAAATTTTATGCCGTCGTTATTCGATTCCGGTCCTTATCATTTTTCGGACAACTGCCCTCAACACGAGCGCTTCCCCGCAGTAAGGAATTTGGCTGGCTCATAAAAGAACGTTATCCTAACTTCAAATTGTAAAATGTAAATACTAGAGCAGGAGCTAGATCTCTTTTGATTTAAAAGGTATATATTAATATAATATTAGGTATATTATAATGTATAATTTTATAAATTCTTTACATTTGATGAATATAAATTATATTATGTTCTAATGTATATGGTAGATGGTAGTGGAGATAGGAATTATTAAATATAATTACTTAATTACTAGAAAAATGTAGCTATTTTTTTGTACAAGAATGGAATTAAAGGTCTTAACTCTTAATATTCTAATTATCTCTTTGAAATAACCTAACCTATTTAAAAAACAATGATGTTTGTAACACACTCAATAATAAGTAACCATGATCAAATATTCTAATATATTATTTATTTATTACATATTAATTAATAGAAAATTGTTTAAATGTTTGATTTATAAAACAAGAGATGTAAATAAGTTTAGTAAATATGTTTGATCTTATGTTGACGGTATTCCTAATTTCTCCAACAATTTAATTTTCATATTTTTTTGGAAATATTTTGCCAAATTTCAAATTTAAAAGGTCTTTAAAATATTCAAAATTCATAAGTTTGGTAACTGATAATTTTCGTGATTTATCAAATTTTATGACGAAGTCATTATCTCATAGGGATTAGAGTCATTCATGGTCTTAGAAGATATCTTCTAAGACCGTGGAGCCAATTGTAGAACAGTATTTTCATTGGGTTCTCTAACAATGTACACTATTTATATATGCCTCCACAGGCCGACAAGGCCATTTTTGGGACACCGAAGGTGGCGCTATCTAGAGAAATTTATAGTAGTTAGGTCCGATGCCGGTACACGATAAGTAATGATAATAAAAAGGAACGATGGAACTATAGTCATTTGAACGAAATATCCCATCAGTGACTGCGTCGCGGACGGGTTTCAGTCAAACATCTACACGACTTCCAGACGTTGATGGTGTGATGCGTCCATACATTGTTGTAAAGCTTTTGAACAATAATTTGTAATCTGAAGAACCACGGCTACTCTAAGCTGAGGAGCAACCAATCGGAACTTGTATTGTGGTCCGGACGCACTATCATTGTACAGTATCCGTTGTTTTAATAATTATGATCACGGTCTTAGAGATTTTCTAAGACCGTGATTGTGATCATAGAATAAAGATTAGTTCAATTGTGATTTCATGTACGAACAATTTTTCACGAGGAATGTGCAATCTTTGATTATAAATACTATCAGTTATTACTAATTTATAATCAATAGTAGAGAATATCTAACATAGGTTCCTAATTGTTCGTTGTTAAGTTTTCCATTCAATTCAGTCATGGTTAAACACACGTGTCCATATGATGATTGCACCTCTACGTTCAGTCGACCGTATCGTTTACGAATTCACATTCAACGGCATCAAGGCATTAAAGAATTCCAATGCTCTCAGTGTGATCGAGGCTATCATCGACGGCAGCATTTACAAAGGCATGTTGCTGAGGCTCATCAAAACCAGTCACGCTTAGAACAACCCTTGTCCTGTGACCACTGTGAACGACAGTTCAACACTGCATGGGGACTCCGTAGACATCAGGTTAAAATAAAAAAACAGAAGAGTCGTGTTCGACATTACCAGTGCAAAAAGTGTAATTGTAGTTTCTTTTGTCCTGATGATCTTGAACGGCATTCTCTTAAACATGAACGTTTTAAATGTGTTATCCCATCATGCCCTCTAACAGCCCATCGATTCAATTGGAATTTTTACAAACAGCACATGGCTACTTACCACTCTGAACCTTTCATTTGTGAACAGTGTGACGAACGCTTCTTATTCAAGTCACAAATAAGGGAGCACGTAAGACAGCATATGCCAAAGTTCAATTGCACTCAACCAGACTGTAATAGAACTTTTTCAAATTCTAGAAATTTGAATTATCATGTACAAATAGGTCATGGAGAAAGAATTTATAAATGCAATGTAATAGGATGTGATTGGTTGTTTAAGTACAAAGCTTGTCTCAACAGACATGTTAGGATCCATCAAGAAAATGGAAAAATTGTTCCTATGGCCAATAGAATTAATAAAAAAGAACCAAAATTTTTTATGGCAAAGAAGTTGGCTACATTAGCTTTAAAAATTTAACTAAAATATTCAACAGATTTATTTACATGTGTTATGTACATTTATTTGTTTGTTAATTTAATTAATTAAATAGTTTTGATAAAAATTCTGTTCTGGATTCAATTTCTGTTGCATTGTTTTTGTTTTGTACAAACTCTTCCTCCGGTAATCTTTGTCGAACATTAATATCAACATTTGATTTTTGATGAAACTTATTCTTCTCGCTTCGTACGATGTTTGAAGAAAAGTGATTAGCTTCTCTTTTTACTTGCGATACTTCAGCTCGAAGACGATGTTTACGCACAGCTTTTTCATAAGCTAGACGTTCATTTAAGTGGATCCATTTGAATCTAAGAATGTATTTTAAATGAACATGTTATAACAAAATATTTTTCATGATTTTCAAAACAATTTCAGAATTATGATATAATAGAATGTTATTTTATAAATTTTACTAGAGAAATATGAATAATATATAAAAAAAAAGTACATAATATTTAACAAATACATATTAAATTGAAATCAGAATCAAAATGAAAAAAATTTATATATTGCTTAAAATCTATTAACTTACCTAGGCAAGTATTTTATATTCCACACACTATCAAAATATTTGCTACGCTTTCGAGAATCAATTCGTTTGCCATTTAATAGTGTTGCTATCTTTTTAGCAGCACTCTTACGTTCAAATTCTACCCAACCCTCAGTGAAATGTTTGGCAGGTCTCTTTTTTAAATTCGCTAAAACATAATCAAAAATAGGAATGACATAACGGAAAAACGACTAGCCAATGAACTTATTACGATTAGAAGCTGGCTGTAGAAATACTCTTCCTATCTCGGCGTATTCACCCAACAGTTCACGAAGTTTTGTCACGTTCATGTATTTCGGTATCGACGATAAATAAACAATGCCTTTCTTCCGCGTTCTCGTTGGCAATCCGACGGACAATAATGATTCGGTATCGCAATCACTCATTGTTGTTCGCTAATTTCACTACAGCAAATTCGTTCAATGTTCCGGTTTTTGCAAAGGTTGGAATTTTAGTAATATTGAAATTAAACATCAACAGGAATATTTACACGTGATATTATGTTATCAGTATACATGCTTGTTTTGCTGATACCGGTAACTTTTGATAAGATGAATTGGAATTAATCCTCCGTGTTAGCACAATTTTGTATGAATCGGATAATCATGGACTCATGATAAGTATCTTGCGCATATGCAATACGCAGGAACGTTAACAGTTATATTTTTGAAAGTCGTCAAAACCTTGAACATAAGTCCAATCTTGTGCTGTTTAAATATATTATTTATTTGGAATATAAATTTATTTTTAATTCAAAATTAGAATAATTAATTCAAGTTAACAATTTTGTAATATGCAACCAAGTATTACAATAATAGTACTATGTCAATCTTAATTATTTTATTTGGGGCTTTTACAACAAAGAATCAATAGTCAACAGTTACTTTATACTTTGTTAATTTATGAATTAGAAAATAACCATCTTAACTTATAGATTTATTGATAACATAATGGCTAGTCAACTTCAAGGAGTAGATTGCAAAAATAAAAAGATTGTTTTGAAAATAATATCAGGTTTGAAAAATATAAGATTTTCTTTTTTATTATACGATTCCAACTTTTTCATTATTAGTTTGAATTATAAATCAGTCAGTAATGATTAATTAGTTTAAATTAATATTATACAAACATATTGAAAATATTTAATTGTACTAAATAGGTTAAGAAATGTATTTCTTTTGTTGCTACGGAAACAAGAGTATGACTAATTTTTTTGAGTTTAAGTTGTGGTAGGTTTAAAAACAAATTATATTTATATAATTTTTAATTTTTTTATTCTATTTATAACCTATTTATATATCTCTATTCTAATAAAAAGGTAAAATTACCAATTAATTTTTATTTTGATTTACATACTACAGATTTTAGTATGTGTAATTGTGAAGACTTAACTGTTCTATTATCACTATTTAATTAGATTAAAATAATTAGGTAGCTAATATTTTCTTCTGAATGTGAAAATATTGTTTAATAAAGTTAAAAGTTAAAACACAAGTATTCAAGTATCACAATATTAGTATTATTAAAAAAATTACAATTATCAAAAATTATAATTTTTTTTAAATAATATTTTATTAAGTAATTTTAGACTTTATTATTTCATTTATATCATTAAATTATAAAAAAAGTTCAAACATTTGTAAAATTATTTAGAGTAAGACTAATTGTTCATAGAAAAATTTTATTTTCAGGTCATGGATTTGCTTTAATCAATGGAAATATTGTTATGCATGCAACTTTAATGAACAACTTGCAAATTAGAAAAATTTCCATAAATAACAATGAGTTAAATTATGTTTCTGATATTATTTGGTATGTGGATAAATCTACACTAAAAAAGTAAAAAAAAAAAAATATATCATTTTTATAATGATTTCATTGAATTTATTCATTGATGAATGATGTTTACTATGGTGTTTAAATTAGATTTAAAATGTCTAATGCTTCTATCAGAATTGAATGTTTTCATGTGCCAATAAATAAATCAAGTTCTCGTGAAAAACTTGGTTATCTTATATTGAAACTGAAAGGAGCACAAACTTTAAGTGCAACATCAAATGATCGTGTAAGTAATATTGATTTTATATCTTTTTGACTCAAGCAGATATTGTTGAATTATTTATTTTTTAATTTATGCTATTTTATCGTTTTAAATATAATTTTAGGTAGAAATAAAATCATATAAATTAATAGGATCAAAAAATTGTAGTTATAATCTTACAATGTCATTATGTATTGAAGATGTCAATGTTAAAAATATTGACTCTATTCCAAAAAAAAATAATAAGAATTTAAATTATATTGACAGTAATTTACAAAAAGGTACTGTATAATTTGATTCTTAGGTTTTGTAATAAATATTATAAATTATTTTAGAGGAACATTTTTAAAATTACATATCTCTATCAAAGCTAATTTATGTATAATATCACTAATTAAATAATTGAAATACAAACAAATCATTATTATAATTATTATATTACCTATTAATAAATATCAAATTTCAAATTTATTAATATTGAAGGGTTAAGAATAGTATCATTATACATATCTGCTCCCATTTTTTGCTGTAGAAGAAAACAAGCAGTCTGAAGAAGATATTCAAATTAATATTTCAAAATCTGATGTTTATATAGCAGAACAGATAGAAAATATACTGGGAAGTATTGAGCCACAGTAAGTTGTAAACAAAAATTAATGTTGAGTTTTCTTATTAAAAAATTGTAGTCAATGTTCTGTTATACATTGCGGTTCAAATTATGATGCGATAGCATAACCATCGCTAGGGGGTGGCAATGTGATCATTTTTCCCTAGGCTCTAATCTAAGAAAATTTAAAGAAGGCTCCCTTTAAGTATTTTTCTTTATGAAATATTAATACATTTATTTAATAAAATAAAATAAAATTTATATTTAAGCATTAATCTTCAGGATACTTTTTCAGTTATTCTATTTTTTAAATAGCTGTAACTATAATTTATTGCAGAATTGTGAAAAATGACATAATTTTATCCAAATTTATGTTGAAATTTTTATTTCAAATATCAATGCAACAACATCCAAGTTTTTATGTTCTATGGTTGTTTAAAAATTATCTAGGAATACATTTAATTGTTGTTAAATGTGGTGACTAGTAGTACATTTTTGAGAAGTTATTAAAAATGTAATTCATTGTATTGATGCATTTAAATAACCTAAATTGGTTGATGTTTGGAAAACTATATTTACCAACATTTTACAAACTTGGAGTGTATTTTTTTATCATACTCATATATTGTGATAATTAAGAGGCACTAGAATTAATTTGCTCCAAGCCCTAAAAATCTTTAGGATGCCTTTTTATACAAGTATACTTTAAGTGAACATTTTGTCAAAAGCAATTTCCGTCTACATCTATTTCTATTGGAACTTATCCTTTCCAAAAATGAACAATTAAAGTATACAGTCTATTGTACGTAGTAAAATATATTATGCTCTACTTTCGAACCTCCAAATCTGTAACACTATTTATTTCTTTGATTCTATGATACCTTTATTTAGTTAACACAAAAGTGTCAACTAATTATTTTAAGTACTCTAAACTATTTTTAACAATTTATTTACCATATTTTTTAAATTATAACATTTACGAAGTATCACTAGTCTTACAATACATAATCTATATTAGTATTTTTTGTATGAATCTGTTTATTATTATTAATTTATATTTTTCATCAATAATTTATAATAATATTAATTGTATAATTTATATAATTTATATAATTAAAATATATTCTAGAAATTTATTAAATTTTGATGGACAAGAAAAATTAATAGATGAATTAGAAGACTGGAAAGATAAACAAATGATTTTATTTAATGAAAAGGTTCTTTTTACACTACCATTTGTCAATCATATTGTTACAACTTTTTTTTTTCATCATAGTTGAAAATAAAAGAAGAACAAATGTTAAAAGAATTAAATAAAAAATGGTTAGATGACAGGAAGCGTATTGAAGAAGAACTGAATCTTGAGATATCAAAATGTAGAGCATTAACTGAAAATATGGACAAAATTACTGATATGTTAGTGGAAAGAGAATCTATAATTACAGCTAAAGAACTAGAAGTAAGTTAGGTAATTTTTAAAATACAATTTTTTTTTTTTTTTTAATAATATGTATTGAGTATTTATAGTTGACTTGTGAAAAAGATAGTATGGAAAATAAATACATCAGTTTAGTAACAAATTTACAGTACACCAATGTAAAAATTATTAATGAACTCAAAAGTAAAAATGTTGAATTGGAATCTAGATTGTCTGATTTTGAAAAAAACAATATTTTGTTAAAAAAGGAAAATGAACAACTTAAAAACAATATCAATTCCAGCTCTGATTTACAAATAGAACAATTAGAAAAAATCATTGTATGAAATTAAAAAAAATAATGGTTTTGACATTTAGGTATTTTAATAATAAATTTAAACTTTTTTAGTCACATTTAGAGAGTAAATATGAAAAAGCTAATGAGTCTTGTATGTTCTTCAAAGAACGATGGATAACATCTGTAAGAAAAATTAATCAAATGTATACCAAACTTCACGGAATTGCCACTAATGAACATTTACTTAACAGTAGACAAAAGTAAAGAATTATATTGTTTAATTTTATTCTTTCGCCTTATTTATATGAAATTGCTGTTAAAATATTTTTAGCATTCAAAATATATTAACTAACATGTTGGGAGAACAAAATTATGATTAAGAAAAATGATTTTAAAATAGCATGACGTGATTCAACTCTATTTAATAATTTACGAACATAAATAGCAATATAAGTAAAATTTTTATCACTATTCGAATATATAATTATCTTATAATAATTAATGTTTTATTTAAGACAATTTGTACTTAATAACACTCTTTAAAAGCTTTTTTTTTCTTTTAAAGTATAACTGTATCTTTTGTTTTAAATATGTATTATGTATTACTGTTTTTAACTATACAGTATAATAGTGTAATAGGTACTTATAAATAATATCATTATTACTAATATGTATAATATATAATAAAAATAAAATTATTGTATCCAATGGGTTTTATGTTTTATAATAAATACTTTTAATAATTTATCAAATATATTACTAATGTTAGTAGTTATGTTATTTGGTTCCTATAATTCAGTTTCAAAATATTGAATGTCAGCAGTGGATTGGCCAACCGGGATACCAAGAAAATTCTCTGTGGGCCAATCATCATATTTTGTGATTTTAAAGTTTTAAACTATTTTCAAATGCTTAATAAATATACAGGGTGGGGCACTAAAATGGCCAATTTCCAAAGATAAATTTTCTCATTAATTATTAAAATAAAAATTCTCTCTAAATATTATTAGTTGTAAGACATCATGCCATTTAGTAAACATGGAACAGTGGAGTGATGAACAACGTGCTTATGCGATAAAATCATTATACAAAAATAATGACAGTTACGTAGTTTCGCAGCGTTCATTTCGTCTTCAATTCAATCTTAAACGCCATGATTCGGCACCATCGGCAAGGCTATTTAAATATGGATAACCAACTTTGAAGACACGGATTTAGCATTAAAAAATATATGCCCGTAAAAAAAAGCATTCATAAACATCACTGCTGTTAAGACCGCTCTCATAAGGAGTCCGAAATGTTTTGCACAAAACATATGTTTTTTTTAAAACTTGTTCAGTAGAAGTCTAGGTCGGATTTTACACAGCGACGTGTTTTTTTTCGTACAGGCTTCTTTTTTAATGTTGAACCCGACTCTTAAAAGTTGGTTACCCATATTTGAATAGCCATGCCGATAGTACTGAATCATGGCGTTCAAGATTAAAATGAAGACGAACAAATGAACGCTGTGCAGCTACGTAACTGTTATTATTTTTATAAAACAATTTTATCGCATAAGCACTTTGTTCAGCACTCCACTGTTCCATGTTTACTAAATGGCATGTTGTCTTGCAACTAATAATATTCAGAGAGAATTTTTACTTTAATTGCTACTGAGAAAATTTATCTTTGAAAATCGACCGTTTCAGTGCCCCACCCTATAGTTATAAAATAACTGATTTTTATTATACATCGAATGGACCATTCAAACGGAACTGTCTCTCGGTTATTTCCCAGGCCTAATTCTTTAGTCAATCCTCCACTGTGGAATATTTAAACTAAAAAAAGAACATTAGTTTTCAGATACTTTGAAAATAGATACTTATACAGATGATAAGTGTTGAGAATCAAAATTTCATTGAGATATGCAAATGCATAATACAAGAACAAAGATTTACAGCTACCAGGTTGGTACTCATATGTTACTCTGAATGAAAAAACCAAAATGTTTTTAAATCTCAGAATATTATAAATACTTCTGATTTCCCATTCCTAATTACGAAGTTACCTATGGCTTATAGTGTTTACATAACGAGTAATCATTAATAACAAATCAGAGAACTCTAAACACAGGCATGGATCCAGAGTAATTATTAGGAGGGGGGCATTTCATGTCGTGGACATAATATAATATCTAAAATTCAATAGTTCTATAATATTATAAGTATTATCGTTTATATGTGCATTGAAATTTAAGTCATTTAATAGTTAAATAATTAATTTTTCAAATGTAACATTTATCATCATGTTAAAATTAAACTGTTGAGGTTTGTTTCATAAATAAATACTGTGTTATGTCATAATATTCTGAATATTAGTCGCGTTTACTGAGTGCGGAAAACTACAGCAAAACGTAACGATATAATGTGAACTTTCCAAAAATATTTGATTTTTTTTATTTGAATTTCATTAATTAACTAAATTAAGTGTTTAATATTTGAGTAATATTTAAAATATATTTTATACAAAAAAGTATATTTTATAAAAGTATATTACGGAATAAGTAAAAATATGTAAAATAAAATATGTCTTAATTTATTGCAAATCATGTGAAACGAATTTATCATTTGCAATAATTAATTTATCATGTTTTAGAAAAAATATGTATTTACATACAAATCTCAGCTCTAGTAACGGGTATACAAACTATAATGGGTACCCAATCCTTAACGGATACCCGAAATTTTGTAAATTGGGTAATACCCGTAAAACCCGGGTATCCGGATATCAAAAGCACTACTACAGAGCGTCGTACTGTTGTTACGTACCACCGGTGTCACAGACGATTATTACCCCCTATATTATTACAGGGGAGGGGGGTAATAATCGCCTACAGCAACAGGTGATTATTACCTCCCCCCACAATTTTTTACTGGGGGGTATTAATCGCCTGCGGTATTAATCGTCTGAGGTAATAATCGCCTACAGCAGTGGTGGCCAAACTACGGCCCGCGGGCCAACTCCGGCCCGCGAAAGTCTTCTATATTACAGCACTTATTTGTATAACTGTAATATTTTGAATTTACGTAAAAAAAAATTTAGAATGCATTTTTTTATGGCCCGCGATAAAAAAAAGTTGTTTTTTATGGCCCGAGGAAAAAAAAGTTTGGCCACCACTGGCCTACAGCAACAGGCGATTATTACCTCAGGCGATTAATAACCCCCAGTAAAAAAATGTGGGGGGAGGGGGGGTAATATTTGCCTGTTGCTGTAGGTAATTATTACCTCAGGTGATTATTACCTCAGACGATTATTACCCCCCCCCTCCGGTAAAAATGTAATAATCGCCTGTGACACCGGCTCGATTCCAAATAGTGCAGTCGAAGATGTATTTAATTTTAATTAATTATACATGAGACTTTAACTTTATACATTTATTTTAACATTCAATATGTTAAACAAATTTTAACAAAGAGTGATGAGAAATTGCTTTCAGTTCCGTGACTAGAACTCATCTAAATTGTGGTTGTTTCAATCCCTCTTTTACATTACTCGATTGACGTCATAGGTCTTGTTGTTTAGCAGTATCCAGCAATAGGCCTCGTTCTTAATATAGTTCTTAATATATTCTAAGAATATAAATTAACATTTGACGCAACTTCCAATTATTACTCGGCTTACGACCAATTAGTTAATTATTTAATTAGTTAATTATTTAGGCCATACATAGTAGCCCATAACACCTCCCCACTAAAAAAAAAGTTTCAGTCTGCATGACAGAAATCTTTTACAATATTTTCAAGCTTAAGTTTTTACGAAATCTTGTTTAAAAGTACATAAAATTCTACATATATGTTTTACATTGAACATTTAGTAACTATTAACACATTTTTTTTTTTTTTTTTTTTATAACACTTTGAATAATTTTTCTTAATTCTAAAAACTGAATACAATTTAATTATTACTTTGGTTAATGATTTACAATTTGTTTTCAAAAATGCAAACTTTTACAATATGAAATACTCAATTTACTAATGTTAGTATTACCCATTTACCAAATACAATTTTTTTTTTTTTTTATCTCAATATTATTATTTTATTATTATTAAAATATTTTATAATTTCCACTTAATTAATTAATAAGTAATTAATAATTAATGATAAATAATTATCATTTCAACTATAAAATAATACTGTGATTAATTGCGATTAACTATTAAATATTTTATCATTGTAATTGTAGAAATCAAATTGTCATTGCCCAGGATATCCAATTATTTTCATAACTATGCATTTTCCCAAGTAATGATGTTACAATTTGATTATCCTCAATTCAACTTTAAAATAAAATTAATGCCAAAAATAAACAAAATGCCTTGTGAATTAACATCAGGCCTGGCCTTAAAAAATTTTTTTGTGGTCCAGCTGTCGCCGACATATTGTTATAGACATTTTTGTTAACACTTTATAATTTAACTAATCCAGACTGTGTCTATGAGCTCAACAATTTTTAAAATTATAGTTTTTTCAAATCGACTTATAATTTCTTCAAGTTAAACGCATATTTTTTGATTTTTCGTGCTATTTATAACGCATATTTTAGGGTTTTTAAGTGCATATTTAAGAGCTAAAAAGTAAAATTTTTAGTGCTACAATTTCCGAACCCTGGTTATTATTGTAAATTATTATTTTGTTAAATATTATTGGTTCTCACCGACCGTTTTTCAAAAATGAATTATATTAAAAATAAGTTCAGATCCCGGCTAATCAACAAAAATCTTGAAATGATTATGAAGATAGATAGCATGCTCTCACCAGACCCCCAATTTTAAACAGTTAGTCGAGAGCAAGATTTGTCATTTTTCTCACTAAACAAATTTCTATTTTATTTTTATTTTTAATTTTTTAAATATTGGAATATTAATTATGTTCTTAATATTTAAAAACAATAGCAAATAATAAATAAAATAAATAACGTTCTCATTACATTCAATTTTAAAATAATACCTATTGTCTTATTGTAAGTTGAAAATATGTACTTAGAATCTTAATGGCCCGCAAAAAATTTTCAGATTCCTAATGTGGCCCTTCAAAAATATTAATTGGTCACCCACTGGTCTGTACTCTATACCAGGGATGGCAAACCTTTTGAACACTGCCTGCCCAAAATTACCTTTTTTTTTTTTTATAGAGCGTGCCATGAAAAAAATATTAAAAATATTATATTTTGTTATATTATAATTTGATTGTATAATTAATGTATTAGTATAAAAAGGTTAGTTTGGGTACATAATAATAATAATTATAATAATATTGCTTTGTTAATTATTTATAATATTATGTATTATTTATTATTATTATATTTATTATATTTGTATTAAAAAAAGCAAGAAATAAATTT